AACCAGAAGGTTGGTGGTTCAAACTCACCAGCCACTCCTCGGAAGGAAGATGGGACAATCTACTTCCGTAGTGATACTGCCTCAGAAACCCAAAGAGGGGTTGCTGTGAGTTGGGTCCGACTCGATGGCACAACAACAACAACAGTCAAAAGGGAAAGTCTACTGGGATATTAAAAAGAGAGAGGAAGTAGACAAAACAGGCTTAACATGAAGCTTTAACAAGCCACCTATAAGAGAACTATGTGCAGAAACAGAAACCAGAAGACAGACAGGCATTATACCTTTTCAACTTAGATCAAATCCAGGTTATGACAGAGATAAGAGTGAAGCCATAAAGAATACAGATTCAAAGTACTCGATTTCAGGTATATTCACTGTTAGTAAAAATGTTTGTTGTTATTCATTGAAAGGGTCAAAACTTTTCGTTGTCAAGTCCTCATTTTTTAACTAATATCTTTTGTAACACCAACAACAACATCCTTCCATGTTAGAGCATTTGGCTCCAGTGACAGGACTCTGATGCTAGCATAACCTAAGAGAATTATTTGGTAGAATTCTTAATTCTTAATCCAGTTGAAATTAAGCTATACCACACACCACAGGCAAAAAGGAAAATTAGATACTAGTTTTGAATTAGGAGCTCTGGTGGCGTAGTGCCTGAGGGATTTGACTGCTAACCAGAAGTCTGGCGGTTCAAACCTACCAGCCACTCCTTGGAAGGAAGGTTGAGCAATCTACTTCCATAGTGATACTGCCTTTGAAACCCAAGGAGGGGTTGCTATGAGCCAGATCCAACTCCGCAGCAGTGAGTTTGGTTTTTGGTTTGGTTTAATTTTGAATTAGTTTGGAAAGAATTTTAAAGACAGCAAAGGGAAACAACACTGTCTCTGTAGGGAAGTCTGGAAACTGCCCAAGAATTACAACCAGATTCCTTAATGAGGTAGATCTAATAGGCATTTATTCCTTACATAATTTAGATTGTAACCATTACATGAACTGCTTAGATGCTGTGATTAAGAAAATGGTACAAAATTAAGCAAGTTGTTTAAAATAGACATCTAAAAATTTTACAGTATTAAATACAGAAGTTAGAACAAATCTACCCAGTTAGAACTGGGTACGATTTCTAGCAAAGTATTACTTTCAAATTTAATTTCTAACTAAATGTGAGTAATCACAAAATCAGAAGCAGTTATCAAGACTGGGCATGAAAAGTGGTTAGTTGCAGCCAGCTGTATTGTTAAGAATAGATTCTGTTGAAGTACACCACTGGGGGAAGATTCCGTCAATAAGCATTTCACTGTACCTGTCAAAGTGGTGTGAGTGATACAGGGAAGCGTGGAATCCAGGTGTCCAGTCACTGTGACTTTGCACAAATTAGAACTTCAATCATCTACAAAATCAAGGTGTTGACTAGAAGACCTCTAAAATCCCAGCTTTAAAAACCTCTTCTGAAATTTATTTATAGTGATTGTTGTTAGAAGCTCCATTCCCACCATCAACCTTACTGTCGGGCTGTGGATAAAACAGGAGGTGACCAGTGGCTCTTGTGGGGAGCCCAGTCTTCTAAACCAAAGGCCAAAATCCTCTTCCAGAAGCAGGATCACCTTTCTGGCTTCTCTGTTGCTTCTAGTTCCCCAATGTCTCTCTTGTCCAGCTACCTCAAGTCACAGATTAAAAATGATCAAGAGGGCAAGTGGCTTGCTCTGGGTACCAGAGTTAGTGAATGACAAAACCAAGATTCAATCCAAGTTGGCTGTTCATTACCCTCACGGTTCCTTCCACTAAATCATACCCATCTACTTGTCTTTCACCCCTGACAAAAAGCAAAACACAAAACTGAGAATGAATGTAGTGGAGAGGCATCTGTTTGATAAAACTAGTAAGAAACTATAAATATGGATGTAAAAATAAATGTTAATACCTAAGAAGACTAGTTCAGGAAACACATGGCAGACTTTCATTCAATAACAATTCAATAATCACTGCCCAAGGCCTTTGAAGTTAAAGGAAGCTCTTAGGCTGAGGAAGCGAGGGACAGAATACTTTAGATGGCATTTGGAGAATAAATAACAAGGTTGGTGGAAAATGATTAAAATTTCCTAGACCAAGGAAATTCATTTCAAGGAGCTAAAGTACAGAGAGAAAGATAGTATCATTTGGCTTGGAGGTAACTGCAGTTTAAGTGACGGTAATACCACATAAGTGAGTGTTAATGGAGTTGTGTTATATGAAAGATTGGACTCTCATAAGACTAATAAAGCATCGTTATTATAGGCCACTGGCTCCAATTTTGACATCTGTGACCTGTCTCAGTAATAATAATAAAAAAAGGCCAGGCCCATTATTAATGTTAACAAGAACCAAGAATTCAGAGGGACCAGTGTAATGTCAATTTTATGACGCCATACTTATCTTCACAAGGGACCATTCAAGATGCAAAAATGCAAATAGACTAGAAATCTGAAAAACGGGTAAAGCTATGGCACCTCTAAATAAGAATATTTCATTACGAGGAAGCAAGATACACAATTGGCCCTCAGCAAGGAATAAATGGCTTATGTTTCTATCTAATGGCATTTCATTTAAATCTGTTAACTGGGAGCAGTGGAAGAGGCACGGGCATCAGTACCAACAGCAAACACTCAGTGGTGCTGAGAGGTAGGAGAATATTTTCCCTTTATCTTTTCACGGTGGAACTCTGGAACGTCTTATTCATGGCGTTAATGGCAAGCCTAGACTTCGTGCTACTGGTGAACAGACAGCATTATTTAAATAATGAGCTAAACAGAAACTCAAACAAATTAAAATAAATTAAGAATAAGAAATACATTTATACTGAAAAAAATTAATCAACGTGGATATCCTGAGTTTCTCAACTATACAAAGAACACAGTATTATCAATCTGAAAGGTTGTCATCATGATTAAATAATACACAAAATTTTCAACAGAGTGTCTGGTACACAAGAAGTGCTTAACAAATGGTAACTATTCTTTACAACTTTCCTAATAAGAGCTTTCAACTGGATTAATCACCACCTCCTCCCCACTTCAACTTCATTTTGAGCACAGGAATGTGCCAATCAGGCAGCTTTTGAGTAGATCACTCCCTCACAAGAAAACCAACAATAGTACTTGGAAACCACAGAGAGGGGAAAGAAAGTTACCTGAGTAGGCAATGGCTAGCAAAAAGGTATTTTGACATTGTTTATAAGCAGCATTCATTGGGACGAGGGCTTCCTCAGAGACAAAGATAAAAAGATGTAAAAGAGTATAAAGGCAATTTATGTCTTAAAAATTAAAGGAAACAGCTTGGACATAAGCCCTAATGAAAAGGAAAAAAATATGTTCAAAGGAAACCATAATACTCTGTGCCCGACTCTTCTCTAACGTGAAAACAAGCCCCCCCAACCAAAGTCGCTGTTTCCCCTCCCAGCCAAGAGTCAATATGCTTATTTTCATCTCAATTTGTTTCTAGGAGGATCTTACTGTTTGGTGAAGGATGTCATTCAGTTCCCAGTATGGAATTTATTTTTGAAGAATCCCATTATTTTTTCTTAGAAAGTCAGGGACCCTTTTTCCTACTCATTTAACCCTAGAAATCAAAGGCAACCAAAAGCAAAGCAAGCTGCTTTACTCTGGGAGCAGTCATGGGCAGGACATTCACGGCCACATGTGGGAACAGGTAAAAGTTTAAGACGACTCCGTGGGGGAAGGCGAGAGCTGAGGAAAGAAAAATCCTCATGCAACTTAAGGGCTAAATGTGGAGAAGGAGCAAAGCTCCTGACAGGGAATGGATGAAAATGTAATTAGTAGGGCTTTGACTCTCTCCTCAGTGATGGAAGTGCTGTTTGTGACCGGGTGATCTCTTAATAAGAGGTTCTAAAAGTTACCCGGTGGTTTATTAACATATTAATCTATTTACTCCAAAATGTAGAACTTGGTCCCTTCAGACATTCCAAGAGTCAGATACTGAGAAAATTTCCATTTCTCAAAAAAAATTAAAAAATCATCTTACTGCCTTTGCCCACTCTCCTGATACACCTCTTCCTTTCTTTAAGAATAATCCAAATACATCTCTTCGTGAACTGTGTATTGATCTTAGCAGTGGAACAAAGAAACTCTGTTTTAATCTTCCTGCAGGGGCTCATAAAACATAGTTGTAGGCGACAGTGACGTGAAACCAGACAAAGCCACGTCCCGACTCCCCATAACCGCCTTTCCATCCGACAAGCACAATTAAGGCTCAGAAAAGAAAAATTAATGCCCAAACAGCCTGTGAGGCACATAGACATGGAAAAAAATTTCTGTCCTGGTCATACCAGGCATCAGATAAGATACTGTCAAAATCTTCAATGGACCATTCATTTAGAAGGGATCCTAACCTTTTAAAGTCACACACCAACATCAGCAATACCATGTCAGGGATCTTGGACCATACCCACAATGGCTTCTTTGTCAAGTAAGCAAGAAAGCTGTGCTAGTTTCATTGCTGGCAAAAATTCCTATCTGGTCCACTGAACTGCAAAGATCTTGGAACCCTACTGAAGGCTGTGGATCTCCACATAAATTATATCTCTGTTACAGAGAAAAAGGGGCTGCTGAACTTGCCAAGATGTCTCCGGCTTGGTATCAGATTCTCCAAGTTTGGTTTCAGTCAGGCTTCCAGTGTGCCCAATGCTAAACGTTATGCTTTAGCAAGGGGAGAAAAGACTAGATCCCAGGCACACACCAGACCCTTCAGATAAGGAGTAGAACAGGCCTCAGCGAGGCAAAGATTGATCCCCTTTGTTAGCACCAATCTCAGTGATTTGGTTCTCCACAGACTAAATGACAAAAAAGAGGACCTGGGGTACTTAGATGTCATTAGAGTAGAAATTCCAAGGCCAATGTCCACAAGGTCAGGCAAAGCAGCATCTGAAGCCAGTATAAGGAAACGGTGGGATTCAATAAGCAGCAACTCTGGGGTAGTCAAGCTTCCCTAGTTTTGGTCCGGCCTCATGGCTGCACCTGTACCCCCATCATGGGTACCACCTCTTCGATCCACAGCAGGTTCAGTGGAGCTGAGGCTCGAGCCTGTCGGTGGTGAATTCGGCGTAGCCGCAGGAGGTACAGGACGATGGCCAGGAGCACCACCAGGATGCAGGCGAGGAAGAGATAGTGGTTGTAGACGAAGGAGAGGCGGAGCCAGCTGCCGTGGGCTTGTCGCACACCCTCCTGCCGGAGATCCCTAGGGGAGAGTTTGAAGGTGGAAAGAAATGTTAGTTTCAGAAAGAAACAATAGCTTAGATTTGAAGGCCCAATGCGGTCTTCTCATTTATTCCACTGACACCAGCTCCACACAGCAAGCAAAGCTGACCAGTGTCCCAAGCCCCAGGGCTGCCAGTGATTCCTGCAGTACTTCCCCTTCCATGGCCTCCAGGGAGCCTCACAGGCCTATACCTTCCAGAACTGAGGAAGAAATTCAGAGAGCCTTTGAAACTGAAGTAAAATAAATGAACAGAAAGACAGGACTGGTCATCTATAACAAAGTCTTGAAATACACTTTGTAATTATGGTATCAATGAAAATAGGGTGTCCCCTGAATCCAATCAGAATATGTCAAAATCTTAAAAAAAAAAAAAAAAGCCTGTGTTCCTTAAGGTTTAGACTATATCTAAAGACAGCTGTTACCTGATCAATTGTATTATATTCTGGAAAAACAATAAAGAAAAACATAAACCAAAGTGCAGTGGTGTGCCTATCTAGAACAGAAGACACTCTGGGGGGTCTACATACCAGGTAAATTTTGTTTTTGGCCTGCAGTGTTTTTTTCAAAATGTTAATCTCCAAACTGAAAGGCTTCACATAAAATATGGATTTCTCGCTTCTCATGACAGATGAAAACTAGCAATGGTGGGACAGCACTTTTGTGTGGTAGTAGTCAGACCTTTAGTTGGGGCATGGGCTCTCCAGTTCTCCACAATCCCAACCCAGCCCACTGCCCTCACTTCTATCACCTGGCTGGCACCTGACAGCACTGGGTTTGGAGGAATCCAAGCCAAAGATTAAGAATTCATTTTAGTTTATCTGTAACACTCCAGGGGAGGGAATATATGACAATTTCCCAATTACCTTATGGATCATAAGGGGAAAGTATCAGGCTACCAGAGCCTGGTAAAAATACCTCCCCCGAAAACATCTCACGCCCTTTATTCTAATTGTGCCCCACCAAAAAGCCTTCCAAGCTGATGATGTGATCTCTGGGGTGACGCTACTCATTAGGAAAGAGTATGCTATACAGCCAGCCTACCCCAGTTCTCCAGTCACATACGTTTTCTAGGGTAGATTAATGAAATGGTGTTTTGGTTTATCAATGAATATCCTGGAAGTGGTTAGTAAGAAGTCAATCCTAAATGCTGACTTGTTGCAGGTAAACAAGTGAAAATGAATTTCTGGAACTGCAAAGCTGAGGAATAGACTGTAGACCAATGATTCTCAAGCTGCTTTCTGTTTCAGCATTCCTGGTTAGTAATAGTGGTTCATTCAGCAGTGATGCCAAACCAAACCAAACCCACTGCCACTGAGTCAATTCCAACTCATGCCGACCCTATAAGACAGAGCTGAACTACCCCCATAGGGTTTCCAAGGCTGTAAATCCTTAGCGAGGGATAAAGACAGCCTCATCTTTTTACTGCAGAGCAGCTGGTAGGTTCAAACCACCGACCTTTTGGTTAGCAGCTGAATGTTTTAACCATTATGCCACAGAGCTCCTTTCAGCAGTAGTTAGCAGAAAGTTGTTTGGTTTCTTTTCTGGGAGAGGACGGGTCACTTAAGAAACCTATTATGAGGCACCAGCTAATACCCTCAAAGCTCAAGAGAGCAGCTTGGTCAGTCTCACTTTACCTGAGTGGTAAGAACCGTGTTTTATACAGAATGGCTCCCAGCGTCCACTGAACCTCTCGGTCATACACCAGCTGGGCTGTCCGTAGGTTTGGGTAGTCATAGGGAAAGTGGAATCCTTCATGAAGGACTTGGTACACCCAGGCTGATTTAAAACACTGGTATCTGCACACACACACACACAAAAAAAAGTTTTTTAAAAATAGAAGAATTCTGTTTTCCTTTACTTAAGTCACTCCATACCCTCACACACACACAAACCAGTTTCCATTGAGTCAATTCTGACCCATGGCAACCCCACATCAGAGTAGAAGTGAGCTCCATAGGGGTTCAAAGGCTGAGTTTTCAGAAGTAGATCACCAGGTGTTTCCTGCAAGTTACCTCTGGATGGACTTGAACCTCCAACCTTCCTGTTAGCAGCCAAGTGCATTAAACCATTTGCACCATCCAGGGGCTGCCATATCTCCACTCTATAATTATTTAAAAAAAGAACTGCCTTTCACCTTCTTTACCTCTAGGTGGAGCTAAATTTGAGCGCATACTTTATCTCACCTTTGCCACGTGAGTGAAGTACAACTTTATGCAATAATGATACTGTGGCTATCTTTTTCTTTTCTTTTTTTTTTTTTTTTTAAAGAGTGTCTATCTTCAGGGACCATGCTGAAATATCTACAAATGTAGATGTCTAGAATCTGCTTCAAAATAATCCAATTGTAGTAAGAAGGTTAAAAAAAAAAAAACCCACTGCCATCAAGTCCATTCCAACTCATAACAACTCCAAAGGACAGAGCAGAACCGCCCCATAGGGTTTCCAAGCTTGTATCTTTCCGGAAGCAGACTGCAACATCTTTCTCCCACAGAGTGGCTGGTGGATTCCAACCTCCAACCTTTTGATTAGCGGCCAAGTGCTTTAACTTATACACCACTGGGGGGCGGGGTAGTAAGTGAGAAAATAGATAAAACAAGATTGGCTATAACTTTCTGGAACCATTGAGGGTAGATGACCTCCTGGAACTATTGCCCTGAGATAATCGTTAAAATTTGAATTACAAATATCCCCTGAAGTTTTCTTTAAACCAAACCATAGTTTAGCTTAATTAGTAAAGGATGTCTGTCTTGAGCACTGTGCGCTTTTAAGAACTACCTACATGAAATCAAAGGAGCTCTGGTGGTGTAGGGCCTAAGGCATCTGACTACTAACCAGAAGGCTGGAGGTTCAAACTCACCAGCCACTCTCGGAAGGAAGGTTGGGCAATCTACTTCCATAGTGATACTACCTCAGAAACCCAAGGAGGGGTTGCTATGAGTCGGGTCCGACTTGACAGCAGTGAGTTGAGTGAGTATATGAAATACATATGAGTTTATGTCAATGGGGAGGAACATTAGGAAAAGGAGGGTGAGAGTGACTATAATCCATGTCACTGAATTGTTGATCGGTACATGTTCTGCTATGTATATTCTTAACAACAACAAAATAGAAAAACAGAAATATAACAATATAGAAAATAGAAAAAAGGATTGATAATTGTTAGTAGAGAAGCTATTCTTTTATGTTTATGTGTTAAAAATTTTTTATGAAAACATTTAAAATGGGAGGCCCAATGAACCAAACTCTCAAGATGTTGACACCTGTTGAAGCTGGGTGATGTATATATGGGGTTTGTGTTACTATTCTTTCTTCTACCCTATGTGCTTGATATTAAATAAAGTTTCTTAAAAAATAAAAAAGGCTATCACTTTTGATTTCAAACCACTTGGAGAGAACTTTCTTTAGTACCTCCTTTTGGAAAACACTGGCTTCCTCTTGGCTTCACTAAAATAGGCTCACTATTTTGGTCCCTGGCATCCCTCAGAAAATCAACATCTGAAATCATCAAACTCTCTTTCAACATGAAATCCCATCTGTACTGCAGCTTGCTCACTTGCTGGCCCTACTACATTTTCCAGCCATGCCTAAGGGGCAAAGGACTGACTTACTTGAGTCGATGCTCATCTGCATGTGACGAGAAGAGGCCATTCTTGAATCTCTGAGTTAGTACTGACCAAGCCATGCCACAGTAATCCTGGAATAATCATGGAGAAATGGTGCAACATGAGACTGGAGGTACTACAACTCCCCTGCAATCACAGCTGTCCCGTTTCTACAGTTACCTGTGGGCTACGAGCTGACCAAGGAAAACAGAAATGGCACACTCACCCACTGGACACTGTGCCAAGTCCTATGCAAGGCAAGCTGCAGGACTCAGGCTACTGAGTGACTTGGATGGCTTGAGAAGGCCCCGTTTTATTCCCAGGGCCACCAGTTCAGTGCAAAGCCAGCCCGATGTGGCGCATGAGCTTAGGTTTCAGAGAGGCATAGAGTCAGGACTAGGAACAGCAGCATCAGAAGCCTGATGGGAGCAGGTAGAACAGATGGAAGAGGGTGCTCAAAGCCCACTCCCGTGCTCCCGAGAGCTACTGGGGAGCGAACTGACAACAGCAACTCGAAGGACTACACAGGAAACTCAGGGCAGTGAATTCCTGTTAATGGGGGAGAAACAACTCAGAAAAGGAAGGTAAGAATGACTGCACAACTGGAAGAATATAATCAGTGTAACTGAATTGGACATGTAGAAATTGTTGAACTGGTGTATATTCTGCCTGTAGTCTCAACAACAACAAAAGTAAAATAAACTATACAAAACCAAAACGGAACCTATTCCTGATCTACCTCTGTGTTGTAATTCTCACCAAGGAATCATTCCTTTTGGCTTATTCATCATTCAGCTAATATTTACAGAATGTTCTAGGTGCCAGTGATCCGACAGTGAGTAAGACAGAACTTCCTGTCCTCATGAGGCTTACATTCTAGTGGTGGGAGACAGACAGTAAATTATACAAATATACATACAAACATACATATATATACACACACACACTCCTACCTATATAGAGTATGATAGGGACATAAAAGCTTGGGAAAAATAAAGCAGCAAAGGAAACAGGGAATATTGGGGAGGGTTGCAGTTTGGGTAGGGTGGCCAGGGAGGGCATCACTGGGAAGATGACATGTGAGTCAAAGTACAGAAGGTCAGGGAACACAATCGTGTGCTGAGGAAAGAGTGCCTAGAAAGAACCACAGTGCGAAGGCCCTGAGGTAGGAATGTCCTTGTCCTGTTTGAGGAACAGCAAGGTGGCCAGTGTGACTCAAGCAGAGAGACTGAGGGCCAGAGTAATGGAAAGTGAGATATGACAAGTAACAGGGCCGGATCACGAGCCTGGTGAACCACTGGAAGGACTTCGGTTTTTCTTCTTTCTGAGTGAGACAGGGAACACTTGGGGGTTGTAGAGGAATCTGATACACCTTATTTTTTAGCTCACTCTAGCTGCTTTGTTAAGGACAGGCTGAAGGAGGGTAAGGGCAAAAGCAGGGAGACCAGATAAGAGGCTACTGGGACCATCCAAATGAGAGATGACAGTGGCCTGGACCAGAGTGGTGGTGGGAGTGATGAAAAAAGATCAAAATTACTATATATTTAAAAGCTGGAGCCAAGAGGATTTCCTGGTGGACAGATGCTTGTGGGAAAGCTAGTGTGGAGTTAAGGACAATGCCTAGGTTTGTGGCCTGAGCAATAAAAGAATAGGATTACCATTTAGTGAGACAGGAAGACTAAGGGAGGAGCGGTTGGGGTCAGGAGGAAGGGAGCACAGATCAGGAGCTCACCTTGGGTATCACGTTAGAGATGCCTATCAGACATGACATGTTGAAGCAGCCACTGATATATGAGTCTGGAGTTTGGAGGAAAGGCCTAAGCTAGAAATATAAATTTAGTCACTATTGGCATACAGATGACATTTAAAGACATGAGGCTAGATGAGATCACTGAGGAACACAGACAGGAAAGAGAAGAGCTCAGGGCCTGGTGAAAGTATTGTTCCCATAAAGTTTGAGTTAAAAAGTAAATCTCTCTTATCAGGGAAAGATAATATTAAGCCACCAGCAACTGGAACAAGGCAGTAACTTGAGCCCTTTGCTGTTCAAGGGAACAGAATTTGAAGCAGAAGTTTTAAAATGAGAGAAATATTCAAGCTATGGACAGCTGTGGAGCCCTGGATGCTGCGAAAGAAAGGGAATATGAGGAGATTGCTAGAGGTTGAAGGGAAAGTGCAAACACAAATGGTGCATTCCGCAATAGTTGTTAGGAACAGAGTAGGAGGGATACCGCAGATCCTATTCCTACAGAAAGTGTTACACCAAGAAAGCCTCTTCCAAGTTCTAAGAAAGCAGAGAGGAAAGAATTAAGATATGAGGAGGGTGGATTCTTCCCACAGTTTTAACAAAAGGGTTTGATCAGGATGATACACAAACATTCAAAGAAATCAATGCAAATTAAAGCAGGAAACTACAGGACGCTGACCAAACTCCGACCTGTCCAGATAGCTAATGATGTAAGCCTAGAAGATGCTGAAGTCTTGTGTAAAAGTAAACTTGTAATACTTCTGTATTTCAAATTTGAACAGCACTTCCTCCATCATTACTTTCCACAACATTCCTTCCAACATTCCGAGGGACTCCACACCACTCTGGCCTGGACTTGCCCACCTCTCTGCCATCATCTCCCAGAACACAATACGACTGGAAACATATACCAGGGTAAAAAGGATGGGAGATTATATATATATATGGCCACAAACATTAAACAAGACTCTTGGAAAGGTGAAGGAGAAACCATTAGCTGCACAGCAATTTTAGACCTGGGTGACAATTTGAGTGACAGGACACCCAGGGAAACCTAAGCTTAATTCATTAGAAAACAGTATAGTAGACTAGTTCCCTAACTTCTCTAAGTTAACTGCATCATTTGTAAAAATGAAGGCTCACAGGGGTCCTATGAATTATCAAATGAATCATGTAAAGCCCTTTGCACAGCACCTGGCACAAAGTTATGCACCCACTGAACAGCCATCCTGAGTCATCTTTATTAACTTACCTGAGCAGCCTTGGCAAACGTTGGCCCATGGTAGCGGCCACCAATGCGCAACACATCCTCTGTACAGTAAAAAAACTCAGAGAAACCATAGAATTCGCTGTTGTTGAAGTCAATGGGCGACTGGTATATGCCGTTCAGCGAGGCTTGGCTAGTGTTGGAGCGAGCCAGCAGGGGGCTCAGCATGGCCCCACATGTGGCCCAGTCCCCTCTTCCTCGAACGTGCAGGAGCTGGCTGTTCCTCTCCACCACGTCCGTGAGTCCCACGGGGAGGCAAGGATCCAGAAATGGATTTTCAGGACTCAGACCTGTCTTCTGGCCCAGTAACCTGTCACGATGACACAAACATGTCATCACTGTACTCAACCTGACCTAAGAAACACAATGTGCTTCACAGGATCTTGTAATTGTTTTTCATGATGTCCCAAGAAACAAGGATAGAGCATCCAGCATAGTTGTAGCTCGTGTGCATTTAACTCAAGCAAATTTAACTTTGCAAAAAAAAAAAAAAAAGCAAGAGAAATGTGGCAATGATCAATTTTGCTCAGCCTGTCAATGAATTTGCTTCCCAGAGTGAAACAGGACACATGAGTCTGCTATTCTCATCTGGTCTTCAGTCCCACAGGCCTCTGAAAAGGGCAAGGATCTCACTGTGCGGAATGTAGCTCTAGCGTTTGAAATACAACCGGGAGGAGGCAAAAGGGGAGGGCTTCCCAAGGATGGGACTTCTAACTGCAGTGACAGCCTGGCTTTGAACAAGAACAAGTGGTCCTGGGACTGAACTCAAGCCTCTGCTGTCAAGCAGGCAGGAAGGGGAAGGTTTTGATTCCCACCATGGCTATTACATAGTTCTAGTTATTGACCTGCCTAGCAACATGTATAATGAGCACAGCTGCTCCACGGGGCTGTCTTGGCTGTGATCTTTAGGGAGGCAGATCACCAGGGCTTTCTTCCTGGTCAGGATAATTCAATGGACGTATAGGTCTGAACTGCCAATCTTTAGGTCAGTCAGTCGTGGAGCACAAACCATTTCTGCCACCAGGGACCACCTACCTTAGTAGGATGGGACTATTTCTTCCTAATGCTATCTTCAGCCTGGCCACATTCTATTTTAGAAACTCAGGTCCCATGTCACATGTACCTGTTTTTGTTAAGAGTTTCATTCAGCACAAGCTCTTCATAGCGCTGCCGGGCAAAGTTGCCACCAAAACCCAGAAAGGTCGTGACGTAAACCCTGTACACATGTTCGGTGTGTTGTACATCACAGCCCAGGTTGAATTCAGCCAGCAGGATCTTGGCAGCTTCTTCCTAACACAAGGTATAGAGAAAAAGGGGGATTTTTGTTTTGACTGACTTCTAGAAAGCTATAACACTGCTAAAATACCAGCTTCATTTACTGTGACTTTAAAATATCTTGCAGCATTCTTTCATCCCCATAGCATTACTTTAAACAAAGACATAAATTGCCAAGACTACCCAAAAAAGTACACACTGGAGACTACATTAGAGACTAAACACCAAATTAGAAAATAAAATACTATCTGCAGTTACACAGGAGGCAGAATGATTGGAGAGGAGGTCATTTTCCTGCATGTACTTTTCTGTGTTCTCCAGTTCTCCACCATGAAAACATATTATTTTTATAATCAGGAGAAAAAAAAATCCTTTAGTAAAAATAAATTTAAGGAATTTCTGGTATCATCATGAGACCTGTTCTATGGCCTTTCCCCAAACTATTCAACAGGTCTACTATTTTTTACAACAGGTTTGGGGGTTGAGAAAGTTAGGTTTTACGGTACCTCCAATGAAAAAGTGCACTATTTTTTCTTTTTTTCACTGTAGGTCATAACGATATTCCTCAGCTAATGGCATGTTACCATGTCAGACACCCTCTTTTGTTTTATTTATTTATTCACTTTTATCATTATATTCCACTCCCATTCCTGCCTCCACCAGAGGCAAGCCTTCTAATGTGCTTAATGATTAATTTTTGTTCACAACTGTTGTTGCAAAATGTTTACTGTTTTGAATATATTTATTTTTAACTTATGAAAATACCACTATGTCCAGCAGTTTCACTCTTAGGTATACAATGAACAGAAAATCTGTATCCGTACAAAAAATGTGTACACAAATGTTCACAGCAGAATTATCCGTAATTGCCAAAAAGTGGAAATAACCAAATGTCCATCAATTGATAAGTGAATAAACAAAATGTGGTGCAGTCACACAATGGAATGTTATTCAGCTATAAAAAGGAAAGAAGTACTGCTACACGCTATAAAACAGATGAACCTCTGAGACACTTTGGAAGAGAAAAGAAGTCAGACACAAAAGGTCTCGTATTGTATGATTCCATTTCTATGAAATGCTCAGAACAGGCAAATCCATAGGGACAGAAAGCAGCTTTGTGGTTGCTAGGGACTGGGGAGAGGTGGTGATGGGGAGCGACTCATAATGGGTAGGGAGTGTTTTTGGGGTTGATGAAAATGTTCTGGAATTACACAGTGGTGGTTGCACAATTTCTAAATATACTAAAAATCATTTAATTGTACCAAAAAACACCACTTAATAATTTAGGATTATTTAAATTTTTAAAAAACGAGGTATCATCTCACCCCAGCACTAATGGCAAAGTTCAAAAGAGTGGAAAACAACAATGCTAGTGAGGGTGTGGAGAGACTGGAACACCTCATACATTGCTGGTAGGACTATAAAATGGTGCAACCACTGTGGAAAACAGGATGGTGCTTCTTAAAAAGCTGGAAATAGAACTACCATATGACCCAGCAATCCCACTACTAGGTATATATCCTAGAGAGAAATATGAGCCATGATAGGAACAGATATATGCACACCCATGTTCATTGCAGCACCATTCACAACAGCAAAAAAATGGAAACAACTTAAATGCCCATCAATGGACGGAATACTTTGCAATGTTAAAGAAAAACAATGAATCCGTGAAACATTTCATAACATGGATGAACCTCGAGAACATTATGCTGAGTGAAATTAATCAGTCACAAAAGGGCAAATGTTGTATGAGACCAATATTGTAAGAAGTCAAGAAAAGTGTTTCACACAAAAATAAATTTTCTTTGATGGTCAGCAGACGTAAGAGGGGGAAGGAAGGTAAACCACTAACTAGAGAGAAAGATATATTAACTTGGGTGAAGGGGAAGGCAATTAAAAAAAAATGCTACTGTGCTGTATCTCATTCTTTTTTTACTGAGCATTAGGCTCATCTCTGAGGTTCATCCTGTTGCTGTGTGCATCTCATCTGTTGTTTACAGGCACCTTTTCTATACCAGTTTTGCTTTCTAAATCTGTATATACAAAAAGTCACTTGTTTAAGACTTTAAGCCCCAGTTCCATTTGTCACTTATTCCTTAGTATCAAAACCATGTCTTCATTTTATCTGTTGAACACATACTAACAAATACAGACTGAAAACTCTCATAACTTAATTCCTGAATTTCTAAACCTACCACAGACTTCTATCCCAACTCTACATTTCCATCCATCTTGCTGGATGACGCGTATGTTCAGGTAGCAAACTCAACATACCCAAACTGAACTCACTCAGTGATCACAGGATTTCAGGGCTAGAAGACCAGAGAGCTGCTCTTTCCCACACCACTCACAACCACACTAGTTTGCTCAGTGTCAACCCTGCCCACTCCCCAGTGGTCCTTCCTCAGTGACTGGGCTCTTTCAGTTACATCGGCTGAACCCTCGCATCACTGGCCATCCCTCTCTCCCCTGCCCACACCACCACAATCAATCATTGGGGTTTTGCTCCAAAATATCCCTTGAAAAATCTGTCTCCTCCTCTCATTTTCACTACATCATCTACCTCATCCTCTAATTGATTCTCATCTAAACTATTACAAAAGATCTTTAGATCCCCTACCACATTCCTTTCTTCTACTGACATCGAAATTATTTTCCTGAGGGGGGAAAAAAATAAGATCAGATCACAGTCAGACAGCACAGTCACAAAATTCAGAGACTACAAGGACCTTCAGAGTTTAATTACAGTATTGTATTGATGATGACACAGAGGTCTGTGTGACTGCCTGCTCAAAAACTTTCACTGGTTCCTCATTGTCTATAGAAATAAAAAGCTAAACCCCTAGTATGACATCCAAGATTCCTCATAATTTAACTCCATCTTACTCTCCCTCCTTACCTGCTACGATGCTTGAAAGCCCTCTACTGCAGCAGGCCATTCACCATTCCCTAGACATTCTGCACCCTCTGCTGCTTTCTCGGTACCTTTGCCGTCTGCTCTTTCCAAGTAAATGGCCTTCTCTCAACCTTAGCTATGCAAAAGCCTATCATCCAGGGCCCAGGCACATACCTCACCTTCTGTAACATGGCATGGCTCCCACTCTAACCTTAGCCAAGTAGAGTTGGCCTCTGCTAGTCTCCACAATGTCACAGCTCTCTATTTACACCAGCTGTTCTCAACCAGAGATGAATTTATCCCCCCGGGATATTTGGCAATGTCTGGAAACATTTCTGATTGTCACAGTTGAAGGGGCAGAAGGTGTTGTTGACAACTAGTGAAGAGGGATGCTGCTAACCAACCTACAAAACACAGGCAGCCTGCCACAGCAAAAAATTATCCTGTCCACAATGCCAACAGTGCCAAGGTTGGGAATCCCTGGTTTAGGCCAAATTACAGCACTGTCATGTCTGCCTGACATCATAGCTGTTTCCACTGATAGATTACAAGCTGTTAGGGAGCAGTCTAACATGTCCTATCCCTTGCACATCCCAGGTGTTCAACCAGTATCTAAATTTCTTTCCTCTGTATGAGGAAAACTTCTCCTCATGATACATTCGTTACATTCTAGGCAGGTGTGAAACATTAGGGCCCCAGGAATGGAATCATTGGCAAGGGGAAAGGAAATGACAGGTATTAAATAGCAGGTATGTATCAAATACTCTGCTCCATAATTGTGTGTACTACCATGTTTAATCCTCCAGCAACCCTGTGAGACAGGTAACATAATCATAACTGCTAGCAGTTATTGAATCTTTACCAGACGCTGGGTAGTCTGTTAAGTGCTTCATACCCATGATATTATTTCATGTGCTGTAGATACTATATTATCCCCTTGTCACATGAGGAAAGTAAGTCTTAGGTCATTAACCTACCCAAGATCACACAAGCTAGCAAATGTATGTCTGAACAAATATTTGGACCCTGGCAGGTAGGTCTAAGTCCAAAGACAGAGTACCCTTTCTCCTCAAACACTGGCATTCCTAGACAATTGAATTCCCCTGAAAGGTAAAATACCTGTCTTGGAGAAGGGGCAGAGGCGGAGGTAGGAACTTCATAAGCAATTTGAAGAGAGGCTCCTCCCATATCCAGTATCCCTACTGTCCTTCTGCGTCCTGTTGACAATTCCTGGGGAACCTCAGAATCTGATTCTGAAATAAATAAAAGAACAGAAGGGTCCTAGTAATTAAAAAACAAAATAAAGTTACCAAAAAACAAAAAACACAATAATCCCTTAAAAGACTGAAACAGAAACAAATTCATCTAACTGCATCAACTATATATTACACAGAAGAAAATTATTTCAAGTGACTTAAAACATGGTATTTTTCATTGCATTGGCAAATGCTGTGTTAAAACAATGATATTTTGATTGTACATTTCTAGTAGGAGCTCTGGTAGCTTAGTGCCTAAGGCACTTGACTGCTAACCAGAAGGCTGGCGGTTCATACCCACCAGCCACTCCTCGGAAGGAAGGTTGGGCAGTGATACTGCCTCGGAAACCCAAGGAGGGGTCTCTATGAGTCGGGTCTGACTCAACGGCACATAACAACAACAGTGGAATACATCATAACAGCATAAAAGAACAAATATTTTAAACTATATTCTAGTAGTCAATAAGTTAATATTATTGGTATTATTAATTATTGTTGTAGAATAAAGAAAATTAATGTTTATGTCATAATCTTCATGAACAAAGGATTCAGCATAAGAGAAAAAGGGTACAAGTAAAAAAATCAGAGAAATTAAAAGCCTTGTCATCTTAAATATGACTTAGAAATATCACTATGAACTTATAATTTATTTTCCTCTTTCTAAAAATACATATTTCCTAGCCCTGTCCACTGAAAAGTCAAGAAGCGATGACAGTTAAATGACCAAATTACTGGTTGGGTAGAGACTGGTGGAACCCCGAGACTATGGCCCCGAGTTACCCTTTGGACCTAGAAATGGACTCACTTCCATGGATTGGCTCTCAGCCCAACAGCAGAAAGACCTACATGCAGAACACCTACCCCAGGGAGATGAGACACCAGAGAGGCAGCAATCACAGAGGGAGAGCTGGACAGACAGGAGTCCACAGTTAAGAGGCACACAGGAAGGGGGAAGTCACACGGAAGGGAGGGGAGGAGAGTTTTTATGGTTGGGGATGGGAATCGTGTGAGATCAAATGGGAATGAACTGTTGAATATAAAACAAATTTGCTTTGTAAATTTGCACCAAAGCACAATAAAAAAGAAAAAGAAGCAACGACAGTTGAGGAGCAAGGAGCACCCTGTCACCTCAAACATGCTCTCCAAATAACATTTTCCACTAAAAATCCAAGACTCTTTGGAAAATGTCACATCTAGGGTAGAAAGTATGTAAGATGAGCATGGAATTTCTTGTACCAGAAAACTAGAAACTATAAAAGACTATTGGGATCTCCACAAATAAGTGCTTTCCTTGAGCTGTGAGAAGAGAACTGGATGGTTTTGATCAAAAGAATTCTGATCAAAAAGGGGGAAATACATGCAACAGAATTTCAAGTTCTCAGGGAATCCAGACTTTCTGGATCCATTGAGGCTAGATGAACCCCCAAAACAACTGCACTGAGGTAACGTTTAAGCCTTAATCCTTATACCAAAACTATCCCCTGCAGTCTCCTTTAAAGCAAACAATAGTCTGGCTTCATTAGTAAAGACTGTCTGCTTTGAGCACTGTGTTCTTTTTAAAGAACTATCAAAATGGGATCAAACTGACAATAGCAATTTGAAAGCTTAGGCAGGAAGCTTAGGGAGCAATGAGTTCATGTTAAGGGGTGTGTAGGGGGGAATTCTGGAAAAAGAAGGTGAGAATGGTTGCATAACTTGAAGACTGTAATGAGTGTCACTGAATTAATTGTACATGGAGAAACTGAATTGGTGTCTATTGTGCTGTGTATATTCTCAACAACAACATAATAGAAAGTCAAAAAAAAAAAAAAAACAAAGAATGCAAATTAGGGTTGGAAAATGAAGCACCTTAAGTTTTAAAAAGAAAACAACTCTGTGGGGCATTGAGTTTACGTTAATGGTGGTGGAATATTTTGGAAAAGGATACCAATAATGGTGGTACAATACAAAAAATGTCACCAATGTCCCTGAGCTGTAAATGGGGAAGTTGTTATGTTGGCGAATGTCTTGTTTGTACGTTTTGACCACAATAAAAGTAAAAAAAGGGAACAACTCAAAATTAATGTTTACGTCCATGCTACTGACAGGTCATGACTTAAACCTTGCAGCTCCTATTAAAAGAAATGTTATTAAGAAAATACTCACCATCTTCATGGTCAAATCTTCCCAAAACAAAGTTGATTCCAATCCATGCATAAACCCCTAGGTAAGAATATAAGAGTCCTTGTTCAATTCTCTGAATACACCTATCCCCAAGGCTGTTCTTCTCCTTCCTTGGAAAAAAGTAATCATACTCTCAGTGTAGGGACTTAAAATCTTTTATCCTGTGAGGTTTTTTGTTCCCTTTTAAAATCATTTGCATTTTCTAAATTTCCTGCAATGAATAGGAATTAATGTGTAAAAGTAAATGTTAAAAAATGAAAATCTTCAAGTTTGGTTCCAGGCAATATGGAAAAAAGCACACTTGACCCTTTCTCTCCACTGAAGGACAGAATGCATGGAGCAGCCTTCTCAGAACTCTGAAGAGCAAATCATAGTGAGCATACTGGCAAGGAGATAAGAATTTCAAACGCCACTGAAACAGTATGAGTTCCCTATTTTTTCCCTGGCCTACACTCAAGGCAGCTTGAAACAGGGAACTGTGCACTGGGTGTATACAGAAAGACCTTCAAGTCCCTGCTTTCTGGTTGAAGGAGCAGAAGAGGAAACTGAAGATTCAGGGATAGTGAAGCAAGATTCTTGCTTTATTATCTTGTCCTCTCCTTCCCTGAGCCCCAGACAATCCCACAGCAGGTACCTTGAGGGTTGGGAATCCTCTCTGACCTGAGGAGCCACAGTCCCAAGAGTGTGGGACAAATCCCTGTTGCTTATTTTTCTCCTCGTGTCCTCCTCCACCGTGGCCCTGGGTGCAGGTGCAATCGCAGGAAGTTCATGGCAAAGTGGGCCAACCACAGCCCCACTTTCTCACCGTGAAGGTGTTAGGGAGAGCATGGAAAAGAACGAGCTCAGGAGAGCCATCTCATAAAGCAGAATGTGAACGCTGGGCTCCTGCTTGCTGGATCTGACCCCAAACAGAATACCACAAGCTTTAAGACTGAACTACAAGCTAGACCACTACCCAGGTTTCAGTTTGGCCACTGGGTAGCACACATGTAGGACAGATCCGAATAGCACTTGCCAAGACTTTGAAAATAACTAATACCACACAGCCCAACGAAAGAGGGTCAGAACGTGAGGCCTGAGTCTAACCAGGCCAACTGTCTGCTAAAACAAATGAACAAACAAAGTAAACATTCTTTTTATGTTTTAAACAAGACCCAGAGCATCAGTAATGTAACATTCAAAATGTTCAGGATATAATATAAAATTACTTGGCATACAAAGAACCAGGAAAACCTGAACTCAAAATGGAAAAGACAGCAGATGTCAACTCCAAGATTGCACAATGTCAGAATTATCAAAGATATTAAAGCAGCTACTATAACTAAGGAATATGAGCAAATACTCTTACAATAAATGAAAAGACAGAAAATCTCAGCAAAGAAATCAGATATACAAAACCAAATGGAAATTTTAGGACTGAAAAATGCAACACTGAAATTTAAAACTCTTAAGTCTTTTCCCTTATATGGACTGCAACAAGAAGATATATAAGATTTTCTTCTGTTTTCTAAGAAATTTAAATATAATTCATCATACATATTTGGGCTCTATGAGATCACACATTCAATTCCACCTAAAAATTACAAACCTGATAGTATGAGCTTTTAGGGAAGTATAAAAACTTCATAGTGATTGTAATAAGGGAATGTCCACAGCTGTGCTGGTTAATGTTATGTGTCAACTTCATGAGGCCATGATTCTCATCACTGTGTGGTTGTCCTCCATTTCGTAATCTGATATAATTATCCTCCATTTTACGTTTTGTAAATCTTAACCTCTATATGTTAACGAAACAAGTTAGTGTGAGGCATATCTTGAGTCACAGCCTTACAAGAGGGTACATCTGAAGTCACATTCTTACTTGAATCATACCCTTACGCTGATATCAAGGGTGTTTCCTTGGGAGTGTGACCTACATCAGTATATGTATATGTGTATGTATATGTGTATGTATATGTATATGTATATATGTATATACACACATATACCTATGCTCTGGCAAGGCTTTCCCTTGCACTAGATCTTGCATCTGGCTTGTCATCATATAACCTCTGATTCCTGGGGCTGGAGCTAGCAGTCTATTGTCTGACCTGCCAATTCTGAGATGTGTCAGCTTCTGTAGTCCTGTGAGCCAAAAGCCTGCTGTCTGATTTGCCGATTGTGGATTCATCAGCCCCTACAACCACCTGAGTCAGGAGAAGCCTCTAGGCTGACACATGACCCATGGATTTGAGACTTGCCAGCATCCGCAACTGTGTGAGTCATTTCCTTGACATAAATACACCTCCCCCCTGACTCTCTCTATATATGTACACTTCACTAGTTTAGCTTCTCTAGAGAACCCAGAATAAGACTATAACAAAACGAGTTACAGCCTAATCATTCCCTGAAATTAAAGTTTTCCCTTACTGTAAACTAATAATATGCTTTTGTGGTATAGTAAATTACTTTCTGTGGCTTTTCTACCCATAAGTCTTTGTAAACTCCAAGGTGGAATTTGCTATGAGCAACTGAGGAGCTCCTGATTGCTGAAGGTGTCCACCTGGAGTATTTCTGTTGGGAGTGGCACAAAACAATGTTCTGGGAGGTGCC